GCGTGGGCCCGGCGCGCCCCGCTCCCGACCTCCGCGGGCTCCTGCTCCGGCCCAGGAACTGACCCCCCCGCGCTTCGGCCCAGTCCCGGGACCCACCGCGCCAGCGTTTCTGCCTTCACATCCACGGCCCCTGGCCTCCAGGTCCGGCCCGACCCCGTCCAGCGAACAGGAATCAAGGCCTGACTTCTGCAAACGCCCCTGCCTCCGGCTTGCCCTCGTTACCCTGGGGCTCTCCTTTACAGCCGCCCGTCCCCGCGGCCGTCACTGCTAGTTTCACCAAGGGGGCGTTCGGCCTGCTTTTCCCAGGCGGGGCAGGCTGGAAGCGAAATCTTCGCTAGCCAGAGCCCCCGATTTTTCTCCGCTGCTAAGGGCCCCCGCCGGTCCAGTCCCCGCAGGAGCCACCTCATCTTGCTGAGGGCTCTTGGACCCGGCCCCGGAGCAGGATCTCTTGGAGTTTCTTTCTTTCTTTTTTTGTTTTTTTGAGTTGGAGTCTCACTGTCGCCCAGACTGGAGGGCAGGGGCCGCTCCCGGGCACCGCAGCCTCGCCCTGCCGGGCTCCGGCGACCCTTCCGCCTCAGCCTTCCGAGTGGCCGGAATTACAGGCACGCGCTCCCACGCCCGGCTGATTCTTTGATTGATTGTAGAGATGAGGTCTCGCTGCCCAGGCGGGTCTCGAACCCGCGGGCTCAGGCCATCCACTCACCTCAGCCTCCCAAAGGCGCGGGATGACAGGCTGAGCCACCGAGCCCAGCTGATCTTTCTCTTTCTCATGAGGAAATTGTCAATTCTTCTCTCACAACATATCCAGACCGCCACGCCCGAGTCCTACGACCTTGATTTAAGGCGCCATTCTCCCCGATCTGCATTATTGCAGTAGCCTCCTATCTGCTGTCCTTAATTCTATTCCTGCTGCTTTGGGAGACAGATCCTTTGTAAAACAGGTCGGATGATGTCCCTCCTCCGCTTAGAACCCTTCAGTGGCTTCCCATCTTTCTCACAACGCAGACCAGAGTTCTTACCATGACTTTCGAGGTCCTGTGTGATGTTGCCTTCCCTTCTCTCTCTGACCTCCATCTAAACATGCTCATGTCTCAGGAATTTTGCAGCTGCCGTTCCCTCTGCCTGAACACGTTTCTCCCAGACAGCCAGCTGGCCGGCTTCCTCACCTCCAGGCGCCTGCTCGAATTTCACCTCATCACTGAGCTTTTCTTGACCATTCTATCTAAAATTGCAACCCTTATCCTCGGCACCCTTTTCAGCTTGCTTGTTCTTCCTCAGTAGCACTTGGGAACATCTGACATAGATGTTTTACTGGCTTGGCACTTATGTAGCCACAGCCCTTGGCATGCTACCCGTAACAGGGAAGGTGTTTGGCAAATCGAAGTTCAGTCGAATGAACGAATGGAGCAGATCGGGGCACCGGGAGCCCGGGCTCTGCCTCCCAGTCACTTCGGGGCCGGGCAGAGGTCAGCAGGCCCGCGCGGCGCAAGCGTCTGGTCGAAAGAAGCG